ATGACATATATATATATATATATATATATATATATTAATACCACTTAAATCTTTAATGTCATATAAAAATATGACAATTAATAACATTTGTTAAATTTTATCATCCAAGTGAATACTGTTTAAGCTAAAAAAAACATTTATAAATCACTTAATTTTAATAGATCAAACAGGAAAAAAATCATCATTCAATACTCATAAAAAAACCAATAAAAAAACATTATAGTGCACCATATTTAATTTATAAAAAACTAATAATATTCCTATTTGAGATCTGAAGCTTTTCGTCAAAAGAGTTGCAATAAAGAGATACAATTACGATGCAAGAAAAGTTAGCCCTTTATCTACATTTAGAAATAAAAATCTTGCTCATCCAACAATTATCCTTTCTTAATTTATTTCAAAATGTTCTCACATAGTCTGATATCTACGAATTTACATACAAACCACCCAATTTCTACGAATTTACATATCTGATCTCTAAACTTCAACTTTTACATACACAATGCCTTACATATGCATGAAAATATGCATATCGCTTCTTAAAAGTTAAATAATTGTGTTTTTATAATATAAAAGATTTAGGTGGTATACATATAAAAAGCAAAGTTTAAGTGCTAAATATATAAATACACAGAACATGGATGATATGCAGGTAAAATGCCAATTTTTAAAATGTCTTGAGAAAAATCATTTCTTTGGTGAAATTACTGGTCATTGATGATGATGGTGATAAGATGAGTTAATCTTACAAATGATAAAATATGATTGCAATCAAAGTAGTCAAAACCAATTCCTTTTATTAATATTATAATGAGTGATTGTTGGTTACAATGATAATTTTGTTATATGTGAGATGGGGCCAATATTGATAGGAAAGCACTTAGATTTCTTTATTGAAGAGATTTGATATAGTTGCTTAAAGTGATTCATTCATTGTGCAAGTCTGAGCCTACCATGAGTCATCTCATAATAAGCATCATTCAGTCACTTCATTTGTTTGGATAAGAGAAGCATTAGGAAGAGCTATAATAGGCTCCCATTCACAATGGAATCTATTAAAAGATATGGCAAGTTGGCAACTTTTGGTTTTCCTTTTTTTGTTTTTTCCTTTTTTGATAAGATTATATATACAAATGTGTATGTATATGTATTTATGAGTACATGTATGTGACATCTGTATGTCTGTAATACCTAAGTTTATGTGTATGCATATGTATGTATGTACAATTGGCATTACTTACATTCACATTATTCGTTTTTCTTTTTCTATATATACAAGCAATCATGTGTTTGTGTGCTCATACTGTTCTTTTAAAACCGTCCCAAGTTATCTGATGCAGATTTGAAGATTCACCTGGGGTTTAACTAGGCCAAGCATGCTTAGGATTGACTCGATAAGTGACTCGGGAGCTTAACTTGCCAATTCAGATGACTGAGACTTATTAGCTTGAGAGCAAACTTAGTGGCTAGAGCTCGACTCAACTCATTTACACCCTTAATCCAGCCCTAATCATTGTATTTATGTGAAAAAAATGGTTAGATGGAAAATTAAGAAGTAAAAAATACAATGAGTTAACCAACATTTCATAAATAAATAAATAAATAATAATAATAATTTGCCATTGTTACTCTGCAAGAATTTCACTTGTAAGATTTTTCATCTCTACAATAACATAATTTGTATTAATTAATTAATTAATAATAATAATTTGCAATTGTTACTCTGCAAGAATTTCACTAGTAAGATTTTTCATCTCTACAATAACATAATTTGTATACTTAAAAAAGGGGGATTTACATGCATCCCACACGATTCTTAGGCATTTAAACTCTAATATTTATTTACATTCGTACATATACTTTGATGTGATTGTGACACTAAAACATTATTTAAGTAAATATCAAAGTTTGAGTTTTAGATAAATAAATAAAAACAGAAGAATCATACAGGAGGTATGTAAATTTCCAAAATTTTAAGGGGAGAATTGGCAAATTACCAAGAACGGCATGTTTGAAACTGCTTCAATTTTTGTTTTATTTATGTTATGAGCTTATTCAGCTTCAGTTTTTTAGGAAGTAAAAGAAATTAGTTCCTTGGCACATTTATTTTTTTTTTCTTTTTACAAAACTAATTATTTCCAGAATAAATGGAAACATATAATAAAGTGCTTCCACTGTTCCAGAGAACAAAATGGAAAATTTACATAGAGACCACACAATTCTTATGTATTTACACATCCAAAACTTAAAGGCATAAAAAGGTGAATTTCACTTTTAAAAAGAAGATGACAGTGGTATTTTTTTTATGTGAAATTAAAGATTTGTGTGCTGTGCATGTAAATATTAAAGTTTTGGTGTTAGATATGTAAATATATAAGAATTGTGCGGTATGTAAATGCCCTTATTTTTAGAGGGGATAAACAGCAGTGAATATGGCCTGACATATAACATATTATCTATTTTTCTACCTATTTAACATGAACAAATTGTTATAGATAACATAAATTATTCTTACTCAAACACTATCTGGAAACTATGACTGGTTTCTTTTGCAAAAACAATATACAAAATTGAATGAGTTAAAGTAGCAATAAGGCATCATAAATACAACAAATAATGTCAAAATCACATAAATCCCTATCTTAAGGTCATTAATGGAGTTCCTCATACCTCTATCAGTCGAAAGGTTTCAGTCGTCGTCCTTGAACTCTCTGGTAAGAGAAAAACATATAATTGTTCTGACAAAAAAATTGATTTACATAAATTTATTTCAAAAAAAGATGAAAGGAATTTCACACTGATTTTATCAAAGAAAGTATAGATAGAAAAAGAATGTTTTCTCCCTACTAGCTAGCTGTGGTTACGTCAAATTTAGAAGGTAGATTTACATACAAACCACTCAATTCTTATATATTTACATATCAGCACCTAAACTTCAATTTGCACATATATGCCACCTAACCCATGCATGAAAAAAGTGCATTTCACTTTCTAAAAGTTACAATAATGCTATTTTTGCTGTGATATGATAGGTTTGGGTGGTATAAATGTAAAAAGTAAAGTTTGGATGTTAGATATGTAATAACATAAGAATTGGGTGGTATGTATGCAAATGCCCCAATTTAGAAACTTACTATAAAAATCTGTAGATGAAAAAGAAAAGATGGAATGATTCAGGTTATTGAACTTTAATACAAAGGTAACTTGTTCTTCCTCCCTTGGTTTAAAAACAAGTAACAACAATTCTTCAAATTAATTAATGTACTTGGTGATTGTTTTGGTCACTTACTTTAATAAATTAAAGGGGCATTTACATAAAACCACCCAATTCCTAAGCATTTACATATCTAACATCAATACTTTACATTTTACATTAATACCACCCAAATCTTTCATATTACAAAAGAAATACAACCATTTTAAATTTTAAAAAGTGAAATATAAATTAAGGTGGTATGTATGTAAAAATTGATGTTCAGATGTTCGATATGTAAATACATAAGAATTGTGGGTATGTAAGTAAATCTTCCAAAATCAAACTCATCATGCATATGATTGTGATAAAATAAACATAAATATGTTTCTCTTAAAATTTATTTGATTTCAATTCAAGTGGCAATAAGTTAAAAAGACAAAAAAAGGAATCATAACAAGAAAACATCCTCCTTTCCTTCTGATATGTGAAATAACATCAGACATTAAATCAACAAGTTGAATAATTGGGTCTGCTATTTTTCATAATAATAAGTTAAATATACCCCGTGAACATTAATTTATTACTATTTGGGAATACTTGAACAAGGCTATTTTATCTCTATGCTGTTATGCTGCTCCCTATCCACAATTGTTAGTAAAATATGTACCACAACATTCCTTTGGAAGATTTACATTCATACCACTCACTAGACTATTTACATACCTAACGCATAAACTTCAATTCTTACATATGTGCCGCCTTTCCTGTGCACGAAAATGTGTATTTCAGCTTTTAAAAGTTAAAGGACTAGTATTTGTTATGAGATAAATGCCAAAATCAAAGTTTAGGTGATAGATATGCAAATAAATAAGAATTGGGCGCTATGCATGTAAATGCATTATTCATCTTACTCACTCAACGATAGCAAATAGTATACCTTCGATCAAGATAACGAGGCTGAATGCCGGTGCCTTGGCAGGTGGTGCACGTTAAAGCGCCTGAACCTTCACAGTTGATGCATTGTGATACTTCGCTTTCGCCTCCGCCAACAATTACAGTCACAATTCCTTTTCCTGAGCAGAACCTGCATTGCTCTGAAATTTCAAACAAGTCTCTTTAATCTTCCGCTCCATCAGTAGTCCCGGCAGAAAAGCTTTAAACTATTAATGAAACAATTTGTTAACTAGTAAAGATTTATAATTTTATGTTATTAGCATATATTCGTTCTTTTACAACTTCTATTCTTTTTTTCCTAATTCTTCAACATTAATATTTACATAAATACCACTCAATTACTATTTATTTGCATATCTAACAACTAACTTTTTATTTTTACATACATGTCACCTTACTGGTGCATGAAAAGGTGTATTTTACCTTTTAAAAGTTAAACTGGAGGTGTTTTTTATGTGATATGAAGGCTTTGGGCGGTATAAATGTAAAAACTAAAGCTTAGGTGTTAAATATATAAAAACATAGGAATCGGGTGGTATGTATGAAAATGCCACTAATTTTATCCTTAGATCATGCCCAAACCATCTTATTGGTGTATCTTTCACCCTTTGTTGTGTATCCAAACCACTTAGGTCTGTTTTTAGCAACCTCATCTTTAATAGACGCTGCTCCACTAATGAATATCAACCCAAGTTTTAACATGACTGCATCTTAACTAGTTCCCAGGTGGTTTGTTTGTAGAGAGCATCCATTTCAATTTGCATAGCATTGGCATTGGCATTTGCTTCGAGAAAGTCAAGAGGTTCAGAGGCAGCTTGAATGGAATGTTGGAGTGTGAAAATTGTTTTGGGTTTGAGTGTACCGGTTTTTTATCGAGTTATCATGGGGTGGTTTGGTACGGCTAGAGGAGTTGGCTCGGGTAGGGGGATTGGTGATGTGGGGTTGGGTATGGAGGGAGTGGGCTGCTGTATAGGTTGAGTAGCAGTGGTGGGAGAAGCTTGTAGAGGATATGGTATGGTTGTTGGAAAACTGGAGGACGTTGAGGAATTGAGTTCGGATATGGTGTTGGCAGATGGAGCTAGCTGATTCAATGATTGTAGAGGCTTGGGTTGAGTTGTAGTGGTTGAGTGCTGTAGTGGAGAAACCATGGGTAGGAGCATTGAAGGGGTTGAAGGTCGGAGGGCTGGGAGAGAACTGATGGATAATTGGATGTGCTTGTAGGGATAATGGAGTTCATTGAAAATAATGTGACGAGATAAAATGATATTGCCAGTTGATGGGTGGAAGCATTTGTAGCCTTTGAAGTTGGCCGGGTAGCTGATGAAGACACATGCATTTGATTTTTAATCGAATTTGGTTCTATTGTGTGGAGGAATCCAGGGGAAACATTCATACCCAAATGCTTTCAGATTTTCATGATCAGGTGGTTGTTTGAATAAGAATTGATATGGGGAATGTTTTTGAGTGTTGGGGGATGGCAACCTGTTGATGAGATGTACAGCCATTAGAATCATACCAGGCCAAAATGTAAGTGATAGGCTAGATGTGGCAAGAAGTGATCGAGCTGAATCCAGGATATGGCGATGTTTTCTTTCGGCAAGATCATTTTGTTGAAGTGCATATGGGAATGAGAGCCGTATCTAGGATATGGTGTATAGCTCTCTCAAAACAAAACTTAGGGCCATCCGAACAAAGGCCAATGAAGTCAAAGATCATGGCCTATCCAAACTAGGAGATAATTCACTCCAACTCTAGCCCAAGTATTTCAAGACGCCTCGAACGAGTCTCTAATGCTCTTTACGGGGCCCTAAATCTTCATCACTGAAAACTCATCATGCCCTCCAAACGGTTGCCAAATGGGTAAACTGCCTATCAGATTACGGTGATTCACCCTCTGCTTGTCAAACTATATTTACGTCCCAGCAACATGAGTTTCTCGTTGAAGGCTCAACAGTCGAATGTCGAACCAAGATAGCCGACCGAATTAAGTTCAGATGGCCGAGCAAAGTCTAGATTATAGAAGAATCACCATGGTCGATCGGCTGCCCTGAACCAACAGAGTAGATCGAATACACTTGGCCGACCCAAATGTCTCAGACTCTCATAAAAAAAAGACAAATAGTGGAACTGTAGACAAGTCTATTTTTTATATGCCCAAATTACCCTATTAAAGACCGATGAAAGTAGAGGCCGTCATGTAATTTGCCACTTTATACCCCCGACAAATAGTGGAACTGTAGGCTAGTCTATTTTTTATATGCCCAAAATACCCTATTAAAGACCGATGAATGTAGAGGCCGTCATGTAATTTGCCACTTTATACCCCCTTATGTCATAAACAGGTGGTCATTTCTATAGAAAATGGCTGGTTAGTCGCCCTTAAAAGGAACTAGTTTCTTAATGTGCACTCTCTTTCTCTCCGTCTTTCATATTCTCTCTTTCCTGTTTTAAGTTTTATTCCTTGGTTGTTATCATAGTACAAATTCTGATTCAGCAATATAAAAGCAAAAACAAGAAGATAAATTTTCTTACGAGCTCCAGATCCATTACAAGGGAAGCAAGGCTGAGTATTCTCTCGCTTAGCCTGCAAAGTACAAATCAACCCAAAAACAAAGAGAATCAAGCTTTCCCCTCCTCCGAAATCTCAAAAATACAATCAAATCAATAGTCAGCTAACCGCATTGTCGATCTGAGACTCATAAAAAAGTGGGATTCCTATGCCGACGGCAACGCTAACAACCCCGACGGAGATGGCAACAACCTAAAAGAACAAACAGAGATCCCAATTAATCACGCATCACTCCAATTAGCAAAAAGAAACTCAAGCTTTGGTTATAATATCAAATGTATGAAGAGAGTACCGTGCTCTGATCAAGCTCTAGGGCTCTGATTCGGGGATAGGGAGGCGAGCGGCGGGTTCGTCCGGGCTTGAGGGATTGAGAGAGGGTTAGCTTATTGCGAAGACAGGAAGGAAGAAAGGATGTGCGCAGGCCTTGCAGAGGTGGCGCCGCAGCCATTCTTCACACTCTCTGAGTAGGGGCAGGAGGGATGGAGGATTTATGCGTGGATTCTTCACTGGTTTCTCGATTACCAACTCGATCAGGAAGAAGCATGTCGACCACATATTATGGATATGATGGACCCTCGATAATCTTCAGTTTTGGCTGACACACATTCACTTCAAATAGATTTAAGGCCCGTTTGTGTGGCAGATGCCGTGACTTTTTTAAAACCCATCTTTCTGTCAAAAAAGCTCGTTGTTCGCGAACAGTTCGTTCGGTCGTCTGCATGTATCGAATTAGTCTGAATGGGGTTAATTGGTTCTAAAATATTTAACATGTATACATTGTCATTTTGTTGATAAAATTACAAATTCTGCTTAACAAATTGTTCATTTAACGAAAAAAAAAACTGTAAATAAGTTGTTTACAAAATGCACAAACCAAACAGTTAAACAGTTTATACAAAACAATGACAGAATGGTCATTTATTCAGAATCAGTTGTTTTCCAAACGCACAAACCAAACAGTCAGCCAGCTTATCTGGATCAGTTCTCTATCAGCATATTATCAAGATAAGTTATTTATCAGCATAAATTGGATAAATTGCAGCTGCCTCAAACATACTCTTATGTTATGTTGGTCAAACATGCTTATATTAGCAGCAATTAGTAGTTGAATTCATATAAGATTGGCCCATACATGCTTATATTAGGTTCGTCATTTTATAACATGCAACTCTAAATGTTGGTTTATTAATGTGTTTCTAGATTATAACCTACCAAGTATGTAGCGACGAGGATGACCACAAAATTTTGTTCTGGGCAACCGTTGCTTCCATACTTTTGGTAGTTTGAGAATGAATGCAGTGAACTATTGAAGTTGAGGGAGTTTTGGTTGTGAGGTTGTTTTTGCTCTAACTGCATTTCGTTGGAGTTGTTTTAGCCGTCTGGGTTGCAAATTAACTGTTTGGTATTTATTAATCAAAATTACTTCAAATTATGATAATTGGACACTACAACATTGAACTTTTTTAATTATGAACTTGTTGAGATCTTTACCTAATATGAATTTACCTTCTATTATTATTAATTTTTTTTTACTTTTTATGAGTGCTGATTTTATTGAGATAACTGTGAAGCAGCTTTGATGACCACAGCACTTTGTTGTCGGCAACCGTTGCCTCCATACTTTGGTAGATAGATTTTCTTTATTTCCTTTATTTATTGATTAATCTATTCTCTTTTTAATATTTACAGGACGATGAATTCCAGATATTCGGAGAAGTCCGGGCACGTGATGTGCCGTTGAGATCTACCGTCCTTGCTACTCATGTCACGCTAGCCACATAGCTATGAGCGACAATTCTATAGATGCCCGCGATGGGGATACAGACCGGAAGACTGCAATTTCTTCAGGTGGGTTGATAGTACGTCTGTGTCTACGATATCCCAACTATACACCGTGGCTCGGAGTTCGATGGTGTCACAAGTTGAGAGCACCACTTGTGGTTTGAATGCTTCTGTTTCTGCGATATTCCAGTCAAACAAGTTTGCTCGGGATTTTGGGTGTCAGAACCGGGCAACATTCGTCGTGATATGCTTTTATATTTTAAAGTTAATATAGTCATTTTTTCCTTGTAATTTTAACATGTTATTATTTTTTTTTGGGTTTCATTATACTCCATATTAGTGCATGAAAGTGTATTTTACTTTTGTATATGTAACTGTGTTTCTTTGATGTGATCAAAAATATTTGAGTCATATAAATGTAACTCAACTCTTTTGTATTTTAATGTCTTAACATTTGAATTTTAATTTTACAAACTTGGCACATTGCATACGAATTAATGTTACGTTGCAAATTTTCGGTGATCTGTATGTGTCGAATGAGTCTGAAGGGGGTTAATTGGTTCTAAAATTTTTAACATGTATATATTGTCTTTTTGTTGAAAAAATTATAACATGAGATATTGTTCATTTTACTAAAAAAATCTGCAAATAAGCTGTTTACAAAACACACAAACCAAACAACTAATCCAAAATAGAAGTAAAATGAACATTTATTCAGAATCAGTTGTTTTCCAAACGCACAAACCAAACAACCAGCTAAATTATCAGGATCGACTGCTCATCAACAAATTATCATGATAAGTTAAACTGCTAATCAACATAAGTTGAATGAGGTGCAGCTGCCCCAAACAGACTCTTAAAGTCTTGTATTATTTTTGGGTGATTGGAGCTTAAAATTTTAAATGTGGATCTGTTTATTTAAATTATATTTTAACAGTTTATTTAATGTGATCGTTTTTTGAGAATGCACCTGATCTATTTCGATAAACTGTATTTTGATATTTTGAAAATGCTGAAAACAGTCACACCACACCTACCTAGGTGCGGTGGCAGTTTTCTGACAACGGTCTGACTTTTCCAAAAAAATAAAAAATTATAATAGTCACCGCACCTAGCTTATCAGCAAATTATTTTTAATGTTATGTTGCAATTTTTCGGTCGTCTGTATGTATCGAATTAGTCTGAATGGGATTAATTGATTCTAAAATATCTAGCATGTATACATTGTCATTTTATTGAAAAAATTACAAATTCTGCTTGACAAATTGTTCATTTAACTAAAAAATATATATAAATAAGTTGTTTACAAAATGCACAAACCAAACAGCTAAACAGCTTATACAGAACAATGACAGAATAGTCATTTATTCATAATCAGCTGTTTTTCAAACGCACAAACCAAACAACCAGCCAGTTTATCTGGATCAGCTGTTTATCAGCATATTATCAAGATAAGTTGTTTATCAACATAAGTTAGATAAGCTGCAGCTGCCCCAAACAGACCCTTATATTATGTTGGTCAAATATGTTTATATTAGTAGCAATTAGTAGTTGAATTCATATAAGGTTGGCCCATACATGCTTATATTAGGTTCGTCATTTTATAACCTGCAACTCTAACTGTTTGTTTATTAATGTGTTTCTATATTATAACCTACCAAGTATGCAGCGACGAGGACGACCACAAAATTTTGTTCTGGCAACCGTTGCTTCCATACTTTTGGTAGTTTCAGAATGAATGCAGTGAACTATTGAAGTTGAGGGAGTTTTGGTTGTGAGGTTGTTTTTGCTCTAATTGCTTTTCGTTGTAGTTGTTTTAGCCGTCTGGGTTGCAAATTATCTGTTTGGTATTTATTAATCAAAATTATTTCAAATTATGATAATTGGACACTACAACATTGAACTTTTTTAATTATGAACTTGTTGAGATCTTTACCTAATATGAATTTACCTTCTATTAATTTTTTTTTTTTACTTTTTATGACTGCTGATTTTATTGAGATAACTGTGGAGCAGCTTGCATGGCCAAAGAACTTTGTTGTCGACAACCGTTACCTCCATACTTTGATAGGTAGATTTTCTTTATTTCCTTTATTTATTGATTAATCTATTCTCTTTTTAATATTTACAGGACGATGAATTCCAGATATTCGGAGAAGTCCGGGCACGTGATGTGCCGTTGAGATCTACCGTCCTTGCTACTCATGTCACGCTAGCCACATAGCTATGAGCGACAATTCTATAGATGCCCGCGATGGGGATACAGACCGGAAGACTGCAATTTCTTCAGGTGGGTTGATAGTACGTCTGTGTCTACGATATCCCAACTATACACCGTGGCTCGGAGTTCGATGGTGTCACAAGTTGAGAGCACCACTTGTGGTTTGAATGCTTCCGTTTCTACGATATTCCAGTCAAACAAGTTTGCTCGGGGTTCTGAGTGTCAGAACCGGACAACATTCGTCGTGATATGCTTTTATATTTTAAAGTCAATATAGTTATTTTTTCCTAGTAATTTTAACATGTTATTTTTTCTTTTTTTTGGGTTTCATTATACTCCATATTAGTGCATGAAGGTGTATTTTACTTTTATATATGTAACTGTGTTTCTTTGATGTGATCGGAAATATTTGAGTCATATAAATGTAACTCAACTCTTTTGTATTTTCATGTCTTAAATGTCTTAACATTTGAATTTTAATTTTACAAACTTGGCACATTGCATACGAATTAATGTTACGTTGCAAAATTTCGGTGATCTGTATGTGTCGAATGAGTCTGAAGGGGGTTAATTGGTTCTAAAATTTTTAACATGTATATATTGTCTTTTTATTGAAAAAATTATAAATTTTGCGTGAGGGATTGTTCATTTAACTAAAAAAATCTGCAAATAAGTTGTTTACAAAACGCACAAATCAAACAACTAAATAACTTATCCAGAATAGAAGTAAAATGAACATTTATCCAGAATCAATTATTTTCCAAATGCACAAACCAAACAACCAGCTAACTTATCAGGATCAACTGCTCATCAACAGTTTATCAGATAAGATAAACTGCTAATCAACATAAGTTGAATAAGGTGCAGCTGCCCCAAACAGACCCTTAAAGTCTTGGATTGTTTTTGGGTGATTGGAGCTTAAAATTTTAAATGTGGATCATTAATATGTTATACTTAAATTTTTTAGTAGATGATATAAAACTATGCATTCGCTTTGTTCCGAACTGGCACTATGAAGCAATCTCCATCCTCGATCTCGAGTCCCAATTCTACCGCCGCACTCATCTGCGCTATCATCCTCCTTATCCTCCTCCGCCCAGCCACAGCCCTCGTCCGCCTCCATGGCAGCTCCTTCTCTTTCACTTTCATAGACGCACCCGCGCGCTTCGCCGTCCCCGTCGATGGCTTCGGCGCTTGTGGTTCTCTTTACGTCGCCAATACCCTGGACGCGTGCTCTGCACTGCGCACAAACTTCTCCGCTGATCGCGTAGGCACAACCACAGGCGTTCGCTTTGTTCTCATTGAGCGCGGCGGGGGCAGCTTCGACCGCAAGGTTAGGGTTGCGCAAGATGCTGGCTTCCAGGCTGCAATCATCTTCGATGATCAGGACATGGGTTACTTGTATTCGAGTAAGTAAACTGAAGGCCCGCGAAATGTTAATTTGGTTGAGTTGCTGATTTGCTTGCCTTCTTATATTGAGTTAGGGCTAAACTTGTCGATTTCGGTGTCTGACATGATTTTGATGAACCGTTTATGTGTTTAGAGCTTGCTATTGTGATGCAGCTGATGAAATTTGGTGGAATTAGATTATGGAGTCTTGGAATTTATTGAAATTTAGTTGTTCTGCGCATGCTTTGACTTTTTAGATTATAGTGTCGTTTCTTTGGGACGATTTTAAATCTCTTAAATGTGATTAATGTGCTGCAAAACTAGGATTTTTTTTGCTGTGGTTGACTCCATGTCTTTTAGCCAGCTTGCCTGCAGTGGTGTGAAATGAAAGAAGATTCAAATTTATTCACGATCACCATAAGAACATTTTCCTTCATCAATGAAAATTGTTATCTGGTTTAGTGGAGATAGCTCTTTGAATCTCTGCAGAAAAGAAGATTAATGTGAATTTGAGTTCTTTTTCCCAAGTTAGTGTGGTTGAAATGATGTTAAGGTGAATGCTTGATGGAACTAGAGATGATTATATATGAAAGTTGGTGAGAGCGGTTGCCTTTTGAAGATTGTCAAATTAATTCAGGATCAATGAGGGTTTCGGATGAATCTTCTCACAATGCAATTTCTCTAGTGGTCTAAACTTTGGCATAGGATAGGGCAGTCCTTTAAATTTGGATCAAGAGGTTTTCTTTTTGGGAAATTTACATAAGTGGCACACAATTCTCATGTATTTACACACATTTCGGACCTATACATTCCTATTTACAATTTATAGCACTTTGGTGCTTTAAACCTATGCGTGAAAAATGTGCATTTCACTTTTAAAAAAGTTGTAATAGCACAATTTTTGATTTGATATGAGTTTGCAATGAATTTTGGAAATAATTTTTTTTGTCACAAAATGTAGCTAAGTTTTACGACAATTTTAATGGATGCAACAACAATAACAAGTCTTTATCCCACTAATTGCAGTCGGTGACTTGAATCCATATTCTTCATTGTGTCCTATTTAGTGTCATATTTTTAGTTTATTCTAATAAATTGTGATTGAGGCAATGATAGTTGATATGATGCAAAACTAATAGGCTAGTGTCCAACAATCATTGTGATGGATCAGGGACCTTGTGTCTTGAAATTCTGACTTTTTGATTGTGGAACTTATCTATCCAATTTGATTTCCAAATCGAGAAATTCAATGATTGCCCAATCTCACATAAAAATTGGTTCTTTATTGATTGATTGTGAAATAAGACACGTGGAGTTATAGCTGACCATAATCCTAAGTGTGCCATGCAATCCATTATTTGAGGATGATGAATTTATTACTCCTTACTTTGATGGTTCCTTCCATTCTCATTTTCTTTTATTCTTCCCACTCATCAACTTTTTATCTGTTCTATTTTATTTTTTGAATTCAGACCTTCTCCAATAACCCTTACCTAACATGTCCAGTTAGTAATTGAGGCCTTTAAATGCAATTTGGATGCCTTTGATGAATTCTAACTCATTTTTTTAAGGAGCATTGGCGTGCATACCAACCAATTCCTATCTATTTACATTTCTAAAACCTAAACTTTAGTTTTTACAAATATACAACCCAAATCTTTCCTATCACATCAAAAATATAACTATTTTAACTTTTAAAAAGTGAAATACATCTTTTCATGCATAGGTAAGGTGGTATACATATGTAATAAATGAAGTTTAGGTGTTAGAGATGTAAATGCATAAGAATTGACTAGTATGTGTAAATATTCTTTTTTAAACTTATAGAGTGGTATAGCGGAATTCATTTCAATTTCCATAATCCAACATGCAACTGACACGAAGGTAGCCGCACATGCACAGTTACTAGTATAATTGGAGAGATACAAATCTTATTTTTAGCTCCTCTATTAGTTTTCTCTTTTTTTCCTTTTTATTTCTGCTTTGATTCAGACTACTTGTTGGCGCTAGCTTAGTCATGAAGACAGGAGAAGCAGTCCATGATAATGGAAAATAGATTAGGGACAATAAGCATCCCTGCCTAAGCCTTTTAGATGAGGGAAAATAATTTTTCCAGGGAGCATTGATATTAATATAGAATTATAAACCAATTTATCATGAATGCATGCTTTGATTCAGCCTATAAATTTTATGGTAAATGCTTTTATAAACTAACATCTTAGCAAGAGAGAGAGCGTGTGCATCTATTTTATAGAGTTAAGGATGATTTACATACATACCACTCGATTTCTATGCATTTACATGTGTGACACCGAAACTTTAATTTTTACATACATACCATACCACCTTATCTTTGCATGAAAATATGTATTCACTTTTTAGAAGTTAAATGACGATATTTTTGATGTGATGAGAGATCTAGATGGTATAAATGTAAAAAGTGATGTTTTGGTGTTGGATATGTAAATATATAGGAATTGGGTGGTATGTATGTAAATGCCCAACAACAACAAACAACAACAACAAAGTCTTAATCCCACTACGTGGGGTCGGCTACATGAATCTTTTTTCTCCATTGCATCCTATTTAGTGTCATATTTTCTTTTAGTTCTAGTAAATTAAGATCATTTTTTATACAAGTAGCTCAAGTTTTCCTAGGTCTACCTCTGTCTTTCTTAACACAAGTCGAATCTAAAACATCTACTCTCATAATCGGATCATCAGATGGCAGACGTTTAATGTGACCAAATCGTCTAAGACGACTTTCTCTAATTTTGTCCGTCACAGGAGCTACACCAACCCTATCACAGATATAGTCATTTCACATTTTGTCTCTAAGTGTAAA